AGAGTACGGAACTCGAATATTTAACACATTTAGAAATGGCCGGGGCTTGCTAATACCCTCCGGCCATATATATATATATATATATATATATATTAATTCTTGCACCTATAAGAAATAACAAGATATATGTAAATAAATGCTTAAATCCTTGGGGCTCAAAAATAATCACATAACTCAAAGAGCAGTAAGGCGAGCTTCTTAAAGCCCCCAAAAACAATGAATCTTCATAAAACCAATTATGCAATGTATTTGTTCAAGAAGTTAGTGAGGATATAACAGGTAATGGCATATACAAAAATGTGTATTAGAGAGCAGGTGCTAATGCTGCATGAAATAAGTAGACATTGAAGTTAGGCCTTCAAAATCCCATTGAAATCAATGAATAAGAAAGGATGTCGTGCATGCTATTATTATTATTAAATTAAAGCTTGCATGGACAGTAATAAGCGGTAATGGATCTTTGCACAAATAAACAAGCTAAATAATATAAACTATGCTATTCGATGATAATGAAACAACATTTAAGCTTAAGTGCATTAGCAAAATATATGATTAATGGAGGATTTATGCTACTTTTAAGATTTATACTAGATCAAATTGTCCCCATCATTGAGGGTAATTTTGTCCTTCCATTGATTGATCAAATGATATGTCAAGAAACGATACAATTGATGAAGAGCCATACTATGGCTACTGAATTTCACACATTGAAAGAGTTTGAATATAGTGAAAGGACAAATTGCCACCAGATAACCTATAAATTTTGGGAATTTACATACAGGCCGCACAATATTTACATAGTTATATATTTAATTCCTAAACTTTGATATTTACATACAGAATATTTTAATGTCATAATTACATCAAAATATATGCGTGAAAAGATATATTTCACTAAAAAAATAATATTGATGATTTTTTTAGATATGGTATTAGAGATTTAAGTGGTGTACAAGTATACATTAAATATATAAATACATTAGAATTTGGTGGAATGTGTGTAAATCCCCCTATAAATTATGATTTTCTATATTTTGATTTGTCTTCATTATTTTTCTAATTCAACAAAAACATTTCTTCCCATTAACAAAATCAAAATTATCAAATAGAAAAACAGATCAAACAAGCTGAATTTGTTCGCAAAATTTTCACTTGATAAACAATACCGAAAATATTTTGATGGAAGCGATGTTGATGACGGACAAATAAAGTAAAATTCTCTCTAAAATGTGAAAAATTATTACATGCGAAATCTGGATACATACAATAATATCATATAATCTTATACATATATTATATACATATTATACAATAATATATAACAATATTATACAAATAGTCCCAATGCATGCTCCTAAGACTCTTTCCTGCCTCTTCGCTTTATGGTGCCCCCTCCGTCCACGTGTGAAGCTGGAACACCTACCTTATCTCTTTCATGAACTTAGAACAAAGCACGTAGAAGCCTCTTTCATCAACGCTTCTATTTCTCCTTAGAATTTAGTAAAACCTGGGATCTGTACTGCAAAAAAAATTGAAATTTTTGCAGAAAACTCTGGACATTGCAAACTCTTCTTTCCTGCAAGTTCTGTCCTCATATCTTACTCCTACAAGCTGAGTTGGGCTGCTTTATATCAGTCTAGAAGAAAGCCATAATATTTTCCAACTTTTCGACTGCATCTCAAGTGTTCGCTGTTTTTCCTCAACAAGGAAGCTTCCATGGCTCTTCAGGCTAATGGTGCGGCTTTCAGTCTTCTTCATCGAAGGAAGGCTTTTTCAGTTAAGGCTGTGGTTTCCGAGAATGTTTCGGTCTTCCCGGTAGAGGAGGAGAAGGTGAAGCTTGGAGGGTCGGATTTGAGGGTCACTAAGTTGGGTGTTGGTGCTTGGTCATGGGGTGATACCACTTACTGGAATGATTTTCAATGGAATGGTAATTCTTATCTGTTTTAATGAGGTTAACTCTTCAGTATTATGCTGGAAAGCTTCGTTTTTTTTGGGGATTGATTAGAGTTCTATATGTTGTTATAATTTTACTTTTATATGCATTTCTGAATGCTTTGTTGAACGTTTATGATTTCCCTATCAATCCGCAAAATTCAATTTTTTATTAGATGTTTTTTGTTTTTGTTCATCCTTGTAAAGTAAATTCTGCATAATTATAAATTTTATGTAAGATTGATAAGAAACAACCTTGGTCGATCTAGTTGTTCTATTTCTTATAATAATTCTTGTTGTTTTTATTTGTGTGTTATTATAATATCGACAATTTCAATTTTTTCTGTTTAATTTTATCTGATGCTTAAATGTATAGTTTGTTCTTTGCACCAACTTTGATTTCAATCTTTTCCTTACAAATTAATTGGCAAGTTCTATGCATGGCTGTGTCAGAATCAAAAAGTTGTTAGTGAATGGTAATTATCTATAGCTTAATAGCTTTCATCCTTTAAGATTTTATCAGAGCACTTATTTTGGCCAAATCATTAAAGATTAATGCTTCACTCCCCAAATAAATACACGTTTAAATTAAAATTTTTTCTTGTTTATTGTGTCCAAATCAATATGGATATCCACCCAAACTCTTTTGATTCTTATGGACTCAGAAAAATTTTGAAAATTCTCATTCTAAGTGTGGATTTAGTGAGTGTTGAAGAACATTAAACTATTGGGGACACATCAAAACTAAAAAATGATTACAAGACTAAATATTTAAAAAACATAATTTCTCACACCACTGATAAGAATACAAGACTGCAACACAAGAGAACTCTTTTAAGATCCTTTCCTTTTATTGTTCTACTTCTTCTTTCTCACTTTAGAAACTTTCCAAGCAAATGGGCTTACTCTTGAGCCAAGGCTTGGACTTCCTATATTGGACTCGTGTTGAATCTTCAATTGTAGCATTCTTCATTATTGAATTCACAGAGGTAAAAAATTGGTTTCAATTGAAATCAATAGATGTCCTCATTGATGAGAATTTGATAAACCAAAATTGTCAAACTTTGTAAAATATAACAATATGATATTATAAGAATGTTTTAAACCATCCACAATGATTTGCATCTGTTGCTTTCAACTTTCATTCCCTTGGCTTTTGAAAACTTAATTAAGGCTTTCAGTCTTCTTGAGCACATTCTCCTTCTCTATTTGTGACACCAGATAGAAAGCTTAAGGCAGCCAAGGCAGCTTTCAATGCAAGTATTGATGGTGGAATAAACTTCTTTGACACAGCTGAAGTCTATGGTGCTGGGGTTTGTATACTTCTTGGCTGTATGATTCTACTTTCTTTCTTTTTTTTTTGTTCAGATTCAACAGAGAAATGAATAATGATTATTTGTTTTTAGCAGTTCATGGGAGCTGTTAACTCAGAAACACTGATTGGAAGGTATTTGAACTTCAGATAGGGGGAATTTAGAAGCCATAAACAGGACTAAAAACCTACAAGACATTGCTTATAAAAATTATTTCATGAAATTTCTTTTTATCCATTCCTTTCACATTGAGATTTATATATTTACCACACATTTCTTATATATTTTCAGATCTAACGCTTAAACTTTGATATTTACTTGCGCACCACTCAAATGCTTAACATCACATAAAAAATATCAATATTTTTAACTTTTAAAACTGAATGCACCTTTTCATACAAAGGTTTATAATACCAAAGTCTTATAAATGTAAATACCAAACTTTAGGAGTTAGATATGTAAATACATAAGAATGTATGGTAAGTATGTAAATTTCTCCCTTTTTTTTTCCTTCAGGTTCATCAAAGAGAGGCAAAAAGCTGGTCCAGTTGATGTAACCATTGCCACAAAATTTGCAGCATTACCTTGGAGATTAGGCCGCGGCAGCATCATTTCTGCTCTTAAAGCCTCCTTGTCTCGGCTTGGTCTTTCATCAGTTGATCTCTATCAGCTGCATTGGTCTGCATCATGAGCTTAATTTATGCAAATCTCATAAAATTGCCTTAAACTGGTGTGGCTAACTTAATTTATTTTAATTTTCAGGCCTGGAATATGGGGAAATGAAGGTATTTTAAACATTTTCAGACATGATAAAGTCAGTCCTTTGTCAAAGATGAACTGCTACATCTAAATCATTGCAGGTTACATTGATGGCCTTGGAGATGCTGTTGAAATGGGTTTGGTGAAGGCTGTTGGTGTCTCAAATTACAGTGGTAATAGTAGTGGCAAGGTTTTTAAATGATGTCTTTTTATTCTATATTTTGCTCCCAAATTTGGAGATTATAGTTATTTGTCTTTTTCTTTTTCTTTTTTTTTTGGTTACAGAAAAAAGGCTCAGAGAAGCCTACAATCGGCTAAGGATTCGTGGAATTCCACTGGCTTCTAATCAAGTGAACTACAGTCTTATATACAGGATTCCAGAGAAGAATGGGGTGAAGGCTGCTTGTGATGAACTGGGTGTAACTTTGATTGCTTATTCTCCTATTGCTCAAGGTATGGTAGTTGTACATGCATTATTATATATATATATCATTATATATGATATTTTTCATAATAAATGTTCAATTTGCACCCTGTTGAGAAATTAGGGCGAAGAAAAGCATGAAATCGACACAAATCCAGGAGAAGAACACGAAGATTTAACGAGGTTCGGCAAAGATGCTTACGTCCTTGAGAGCAGAGCAGCGACTTTCCTTCAATTCAGAAAAGAAATACAGAATATAAAATATCTTCATAGAGTTACAAACAGGACATCTATATATAACCTTAGAGTACAATGTGTAATTATAAAATTACCCATGTACCGTACCGCGGGGCGTTGCCCTCGCACTCCCAACCCACGTAACGAAACTCCCCCGATTGGACAGATTCTTCCACTCCGCTCGATTGGCTCGCTCTGTTCCCCTCCAGTATATGTCCCTCATATGGTATATGAGTCATACCTAACAAATCTCCACCTTGGTGAATATTCAGTCCCTTAAGAGAAATACATCACGAAGTTTCTTACATGCACTACGATGTTTCCAAGCAATTCAAGAACTTGTTGATAGTAACTGACTTAGTCAACATATCAACTGCATTTTCATCGGTATGAACCTTATGCAACAATATCTCACCAGAAGCAATCAATTCTCTGATCTTATGATACCTGGCATCAATATGTTTGTTTTTCGTATGGTACATCTGGTTCTTAGCCAGATAAATAGCACTGACTATCACAATGCAACTGAACTCCACTTTGCTCAACATCAGTTCCTTTACTAGCACAATAAGCCATAAAGCTTCTTTAGCAGCTTCAGCTACTGCCATGTACTCAGCTTTAGTTGTAGATAATTTCACAATAGATTGAATTGTTGATTTCCAACATATAGGTCATCTACCAAGAGTAAACACATACCCAGTTGCAGATCTTTTGTCATTCAAATCATCTGCATAGTCTGAATCCACGTATCCCACAACTGATCACCATCTTCTTTGCAATCAGATCCCAAAACTTGTATCATTTCACATCCTTTTTGTAGCTCAGAAAGATGCATTTTTTGAATTTTGCATCAAATTTTGATATTTTGCATCAAATTGAATTTTGCATCAAATTTTGATCTTTCATCTCCAGGTACATGCACATAAGCATGACAACCAAAATTTCGTAAATAATCGAAATTAATTGGATTACCTGTCCATACCTCTTCTACAACCTTGTCACATAATGATGTTTGAGGTGATCTATTGAAAATATAGCATGTCATATTCAAAGCCTCTGCCCAGAAACTTTTAGGAAGTCATGCATTCAATCTCAAGCATCTTGCCCTTTTAATTAAGAATTTGTTCATCCTTTCTGCAACATTATTCTGTTGTGGTGTCTTGTGCACTGAAAAATGTCTCTGAATCTCATGTTTCTCACAAAATTTCTGAAAGTGCGAATCTATGTGCTCTGTGCATTAGCAGACCTCAAATATTTGATCTTTATGTCGGTTTGGTTCTCCACCTCTGCTTTCTACAGCTTGAATTTGGAGAATACTTCAGATTTTTGTTTCAATAAATACACCCAAACTTTCCTGGAGAAATCATCAATAAATGTAACATAATACAGAGATCCTCTCAATAATGATTCTTTGATAGGGCCTTATACATCATAATGCACATAATCAAGAATTCCTTCAGTTTTGTGTTTTCCAGTCATAAAACTGACTTTATTCTGTTTTTCAAAAATATAGAACTTACAAAAATCGAGTTTGCAGCTTTTAACACCATGCAACAAGTTTCTTCTATGTAATTTAGTCATTTCACGCTCACTAAGATGACCCAGACGCATATGTCGTAACTTTGTATTATCATCATCTGACTTAACAGAATGAACTTCACCTACAACTATACTTTTTAACAGTTTGTAGATATTACCTGCAATTAACTTTCCTTTCATCATAATTAGTGCACCTTTAATAATTCTGATGGGTTCACTATCCTCATCTGTCTTATGAATAAAACCATTTCTATGTAAAGTATCAATAGAAATCAAATTCTTCTTCAGATTTGGAATATGTCGGACATCACATAATGTTCTTACAGTGTCATCATACATCTTAATTCTGACTTCACCAATACTAACAATATTGCAGCATATATCATCACCTAAATAGACTGAGCCAGAATTAGTTAACATGTATGAAGTAAACCACTCCTTGTTAGATGTTATCTGATAAGAGAATTCTGAATAAAAAATTATTGCATCCGTGAACTGAGTTGATGGAACTGAAAGCATATCACCATCACTGCAATCTGAATTGTCACTGCACCACATTTACAGGCTTTGATGATGTATCACGTTTCTCCCCAGTCTGCTTTTTAAGCTTTGGACAATCTCTCTTCATGTAATACAGTTCCTTGCACTTGTAATAATGAATCGTCTTTTTGTTTTTAGACTTTGATATGAAATGTCGCCTTCCAGAATTCTATTTCTTTTTCTTCCTTCCACGATCTCGATTACTCTTAACATATGAACTATCACCATAAGAAATTTTTTCTGCATTCTGCTTCCGCCGGCTGTGAGCCAATAATGTTGCAGTAATCTCATCAACTTTGATTGTTTCTATCTCATATGTCAGAAGAGTCGTCAAGTGTTCATAAGAAGAAGACAATGAACACAATAAAATTAATGCTCGATCTTCATTCATGGAGATTTTAAATTTATCACGTGATACATGAACTCATCTGCAGACAAAAACGTATGGTTGATGTTGCTCGTTGTTGCAATTTTTTCTAATATTTATCTTTCATGGTATCTGATTTCGTTGCCCGCAAAGCCTTTAAGATTTTCTGTTGCGTAAAAAAAATTTTTTACCCTTATTTGTCATAATCTGAAGTTATCAATTTCGTCAAACTTAATCACTTCTAATTTTGCACCTTTAAGTTTACTGCAATTACTCCTACCACGACCTAATCCTGTCTCGCGCCAAAGCCAAATCACTAAACCAGAGATTTTCTGTCTTTGTAAAATGCGAAGGTAATCGGATTGAGAACACAAAAAAAACCTCTCCTTCCCGAATCTTTAGTCGCTCGGTTGCGAAGAAGAGCCCGAGGTGGCCTCTGCGACGCTTTGTGATATTCGCGAACTCCTCTTCTTGAAACACCGAATCCCCTTTGCGACCTCTGCCTTGACGAAGCCGCCTGGTGGCGATACTGCCAATCCCTCTGCGTTGCGGAAGAAGCCGCGTCGACGCCTGCTGGAAGAACACTCGGTCGCGCGTAGCCTCGTCCTCTGCGAATCGCTGAAGCCACACGTCAACTGTCGTTCGATCTTCTGCTCGCGAACTGTTCATAGCTGCAGGAATCTCTCTCGTTTCCTGGTCGCAGAAGAAGGGGGGTGTCGTACGTCGGGTCGCGATTTGTCTGCTCTTCCTGCGTCAAACCGTCTAACCCTTGGCTTCGTCGCCGAACTGCAGCAATTCGTCGAACTCCGAAGCCCTAGCCGCCGGTCTCCTCTGCTAAATCTTCTTCGTGCCTGCTCCGAAGTTTCTGTCCTAAAAGCCTCTCTGATACCGTCTTATAAATTAGTAAAAGCAGGAAATCGATACAAATTCACAATAAAAACACAATGATTTAACGAGATTCGATAAATATGTCTATGTCTTCGGAGAATTACAAAATATCTTCTTAGAATTATAAAAAAATTACTCATGTATTGTACTGTGGGGCGTTGTTTTTTGATTGGACAGATTCTTCCGCTTCGCTCCACTGGCTCGCTACATTTCGCTCCAGCATCTGTCCCTCATATGGTATATGAGCGATACCGAACACATCCCTAAAACAAAATAGTTGGTGTAGCACCATGGTGCAACAATAATAATTCTATCAAAATTTTCTTTCGAGAGTAGTGTTGGGGGCTACAAAGAGAGCGTAAGAGTGTTGTTATAGAAAAAAAAAATTTCATGTGGAGTCCGGAAATAATTGTACGTCTAAACTCTAATAAAATCTTGTCACGTGTATCTGACTAGACCTACCTAAAAAATGACAAAGAGACGCTAATATCATCCTAATAATACCCCATTAACACATCGGCGTTATTTGTGTGGTCCATGAGTGTTATTGTAATGTTATTGTAGTGTTATTGGAGTTATTTTGTGGGGATTATTGTGGTGTTACCGTAGTGTTATTTGTGTGGTTCTCCGATGGTGTTAGTGGTGCTGATCACCGGTGTTATTATGGTGTTATTCAAGTTATTTTTGGGTTGTTGAAATGAAACCACGGTACCGATGGTGTTGTGGTGCTATTGTGACATTATTTGATTGTTTTGCAATAAACGCCATAATAAACGTCATTTTCGTCATTTTTTAAATGAGCTCAAACATATGATCATTGCAAAAGTTTATTGAAGTCTATAAGACGCAAAGCAGCGTTTGGACTTTGTATGAAAAAGTTTTTCCTGTTTCAGAGGCTATTGCTATAGATATAACTTCGAGGTGTTATATACGGGAAAAAAAAATTACACTCAAATTTTTGAGAAGCTCATCATCAAGCTTAATCGACAAAATAAAATGTGGGACTCGAATTTTTTTAAAAAAAAGAGATAATGAGAAATGAAATAAAATCAATTAAAATTATGACTCAAGCAAGTTATACTTTATAACCGTTCCCCCTCCACTTCTGCTCATGACACCGAATGAATCCCGGATGGCCTTCTACTTTCTACAGAGGGATCGAAGGAAAAAGGTAAAGGCTCGCCTCTTTCTCCACGGCTTCACTGTTTGTATTATCCTCTTCGTTTGAATCATACGCAACTGAAGCCGCTCCATGGTCCCAAGATCTTCTCTGCAGCACTGCTTTCTCCATTCGACTTCATTTTCTACCCGAAGGCATCACGGTACAGTCGTGACCAGAGCGTACCGGGAAAGCAACAAAGGCATCACGGCGTATAGAGGACCGAAACTCCCTATCCCCTGATGGTAACCCGCGCCTGAGCTGCTCTCACCCTTGCGATACAGTAGCGCTTAGGGCTA